AACATAAAGAGAGGGTAGAGAAAATGACAGAGTGAGAAAGAAAGAAAGAAAGAAAGAAAGAAAGAAAGAAAGAAAGAAAGAAAGAAAGAAAGAAAGAAGAGGAGAAGCGAAATAGATAAAATGTAGATAAACATAAAGAGAGGGTAGAGAAAATGACAGAGTGAGAAAGAAAGAAAGAAAGAAAGAAAGAAAGAAAGAAAGAAAGAAAGGAGAGGAGAAGCGAAATAGATAAAATGTAGATAAACATAAAGAGAGGGTAGAGAAAATGACAGAGAGAGGGAGAGAAGGAAAGGAGAGGGTAGAAAGATAAGAAGAGAAAGAAGCATAAAGAGAGCGTAAGAAAAATGACAGAAAGAGAGAAGGAAAGGCGAGGAGAGGAGTGATAGATAAAAATAGAGAGAAACATAAAGAGAGGTAGGAAAATGAGAGAGAAAGAGAGAGACACAGACGAAAGGTGAGGGGACATAGATTTGTTTTTAATCATGTCTCCCCAAGCAAAACAATAAAGCCTCTAAGATGCAATGGGGTTACTGAGTGCGAAATAATATGAGAAAAACAAAAAATCATTAAGATGAGAGAGAACAGTAAAAGGGCATGAATTAAGAAGACACGATAACCACTGGCATTGCGTTTAAATTTAATAATGATGACAGGTAAGAGTTATCTCCCTTACCCGTTATCATTATTATAGAAGAAAAAATAAGATTGGGAAGAAATAAAAAAAAAAGAAAAGTCAGAACATAAGGAGACAGAATGAAAATGAGAGAAAGATAGCGATAGAGTGAATCAAAAAGAGAGGGATACATAAATGCAGAGAGGAGAAAAGAGAGAGAGAGAGAGAGAAGAAAAGGAGGAGAAAAGAAAAGTGTTAGGTGGAGTGTTAATAAAAGAGAGGGGCAGAAACAAAAAAGAAAAGCGAAATAGAAAAAAAGGGAAAATAGAGAGACGGGAACAGAGATAAGCGGAGAGATAGAGAGATGGAAAGAAATGAGAGAGAAAGGGCGAGAGAGATAGAGAACACAATAAGAGCAGAGAGGAAAGAGATAGAGAAAAGGAAATAGAGAGAGGAGAGAGAGAAATTAAGAGAGAAACAGAAAGTGAAGAGCTCGAAAACGACTGAGATAGACAAAGAGAAAAGGAGTGTACAGAAAGAGTAGTAAATGAGAATAGAGAGGGACATAAAGAGAGGGTAGAAAATGACAGAGAGAGTAGAAAGGGGAGGAGAGATAGATAAGAATAGAAAGAAACAAAGAGGTGGTAGAAAAATGACAGAGAGAGGGGAAAGGAGAGGAGAGATAGATAAGAATAGAGAGAAACATAAAGAGTGGGTAGAAAAATGACAGAGAGAGTAGAAAGGGGAGGAGAGATAGATAAGAATAGAAAATAACAAAGAGGGGGTAGAAAATGACAGAGAGAGGGGAAAGGAGAAGAGAGATAGATAAGAATAGAGAGAAACATAAAGAGTGGGTAGAAAAATGACAGAGAGAGTAGAAAGGGGAGGAGAGATAGATAAGAATAGAAAGTAACAAAGAGGGGTAGAAAAATGACAGAGAGAGTAGAAAGGAGAGGGTGATAGATAAGAATAGAGAGAAACATAAAGAGGGGTTCAAAAAGACAGAGCTAGTAGAAACGGAGGGAGAGATAGATAAGAATAGAAAGAAACAAAGAGGGAGTAGAAAATGACAGAGAGAGAGTAAAGGAGAGGAGAGATAGATAAGAATAGAGAGAAACATAAAGAGGGGTAGAAAAATGACAGAGAGAGTAGAAAGGGGGAGAGATAGATAAGAATAGAAAGTAACAAAGAGGGGGGTAGAAAAATGACAGAGAGAGAGAAAGGAGAGGGTGATAGATAAGAATAGAGAGAAACATAAAGAGGGGTTCAAAAAAGACAGAGCTAGTAGAAACGGAGGGAGAGATAGATAAGAATAGAAAAGAAACAAAGAGGGAGTAGAAAATGACAGAGAGAGAGTAAAGGAGAGGAGAGATAGATAAGAATAGAGAGAAACATAAAGAGGGGTAGAAAAATGACAGAGAGAGTAGAAAGGGGGAGAGAGAGATAGATAAGAATAGAAAGTAACAAAGAGGGGGTAGAAAAATGACAGAGAGAGTAGAAAGGAGAGGGGTGATAGATAAGAATAGAGAGAAACATAAAGAGTGGGTTCAAAAAAGACAGAGCTAGTAGAAACGGAGGGAGAGATAGATAAGAATAGAAAGAAACAAAGAGGGAGTAGAAAAATGACAGAGAGAGAGTAAAGAAGAGGAGAGATAGATAAGAATAGAGAGAAACATAAAGAGTGGGTAGAAAAATGACAGAGAGAGTAGAAAGGGGAGGAGAGATAGATAAGAATAGAAAGTAACAAAGAGGGGGTAGAAAAATGACAGAGAGAGTAGAAAGGAGAGGGGTGATAGATAAGAATAGAGAGAAACATAAAGAAAGGGTAGAAAAATGACAGAGAGAGTAGAAAGGAGAGGAGAGATCGATAAGAATAGAAAGTAACAAAGAGGGGGTAGAAAATGACAGAGAGAGGGGAAAGGAGAAGAGAGATAGATAAGAATAGAGAGAAACATAAAGAGTGGGTAGAAAAATGACAGAGAAAGTAGAAAGGAGAGGGGTGATAGATAAGAATAGAGAGAAACATAAAGAGTGGGTAGAAAAATGACAGAGAGAGTAGAAAGGGGAGGAGAGATAGATAAGAATAGAAAGTAACAAAGAGGGGGTAGAAAAATGACAGAGAGAGTAGAAAGGAGAGGGGTGATAGATAAGAATAGAGAGAAACATAAAGAGTGGGTAGAAAAAGGACAGAGAGTGGGGAAAGTAGATGAGAGATAGATATGAAAAAGAGCGAGAGAAATATACAGAAAAATGAAAGGAAAAGGGGAACGTGTATGCGCATGTTTATAAATCTAACCATTACCATAATGGTAATGGTACTAAAAGATACGGTTTCAATATACCAGAAGGTGGTTTTTATCACAAACTTAGCACTGACCGAGTGTTAAAACCGTCGGTAGTATTGCAATGGGGGTAATGAAATAGTTTCACGTGACATTCACTTTTCTGAGACCTTTTCCAATGACAGTTAATTCAATGCCTTGCTAATGACTGTCGATTCGCGCTATAACAATTCGGCTGGTCGGTCGGCCAGTCATTCAGATTGCTGACCGAACGTAGGCTTAATCTTGTCGGGGCACACCGAGAATGTAATTGATTAAAATCTCAAAGGAGCTGCTCTTTCATTTCCTGCTAGCACTACAGATAATATAGAACAATTTAAAATGGCGGATCGGGAGTAAAATCGGAGTTTCCACCCACTTCGTTTCTTTCTTTCTTTCTTTCTTTCTTTCTTTCTTTCTTTCTTTCTTTCTCGTATTTCGTTCTTTCTTTCTTTCTTTCTTTCTTTCTTTCTCGTATTTCGTTCTTTCTTTCTTTCTTTCTTCCTTTCTCGTATTTCGTTCTTTCTTTCTTTCTTTCTTTCTTTCTTTCTTTCTTTCTCGTATTTCGTTCTTTCTTTCTTTCTTTCTCGTATTTCGTTCTTTCTTTCTTTCTTTCTTTCTTTCTCGTATTTCGTTCTTTCTTTCTTTCTTTCTTCCTTTCTCGTATTTCGTTCTTTCTTTCTTTCTTTCTTTCTTTCTCGTATTTCGTTCTTCGTTCTTTCTTTCTTTTTTTCTTCCTTTCTCGTATTTCGTTCTTTCGTTGTTTCACCATTACATTTCTTTCTTTCTTTCTTTCCATCATTCTTTCATTCAGTTATTCCTTTGCATTATATTTCCTTCCTTCCTTCCTTCCTTCCTTCCTTCTTTCCTTCCTTCCTTCCTTCCATCCTTCTTTCTTTCTTCCTTCCTTCCTTCCTTCCTTTCTCGTATTTCGTTCTTTCATTGTTTCGCCATGACATTTCTTTCTTTCATTCCATCTTTCTTTCATTCATTTCTACTTTTTCTATCATTTTTTCTTTCTTTCTCATATTTCGTCCTTTCATTATTTCGCCATTAAATTTTTTCTTTCCATTTTTCTTTCATTCATTTTTTTCTTTTTGCATTACATTTCCTTCTTTCTTTCTTTCTTTCTTTCTTTCTTTCTTTCACTCTTTTTTTCTCTACTATATTTTTATAAATACATCTCATTATTTTTCCATTGAATTTATTTCTTTCTTCATTGCATTTTCATTCTTTCGTTCATTTTTCTTTCTACATTATGTTTTTTCCCTTTTTCTTTCTTATTTTCTTTCTGTATTGCGTTCCTTTCCCTTTTTATTCCTTTCTTTCTTTTTCTGCATTAGATTTTATTTCTTTTTTCTGTCTTTATCGCATTTCGTTCTTTCATTTATCTTCATTACACTTCTTTCTTTCTTTCTTTCTTTATATCATTCTATTTTTTTCTTTCATTATGTCTTCTTTTTTTCTTTTTCGCTGTTATATTTCTTTATAAATACATTTCTTTATTTTTCTATTTTTCTTTATTTCTTTAATTTTCTTCCTTTCTTTCAATCATTTTTCTTTTTGCATGCATGACATTTCCTTCCTTTTTTCTTTCTTTCTTTCTTTCTTTACATCTTTCTTGCATTAATTTTTTTCTTTCTGCATTTATTTCTTGCTTTCTTTTTTTTTCTATTATATTTTTCTTTCTCCAATACATCTCCTTATTTTTCTCGTATATTTCTTCCTTTCTTTCCTTCCATCTTTCTTTTTCTAACGCATTTCATTCTTTCTGCTTGCGATTTCTTTCTTTCTTTCATTCCCTTTCCGTAACATGTTTTTCTTTCTTTCTTAATTATATTACATTCTTTCTTTTTCCATTGCATTTCTCTCTTTGCTTTTTTTCTTTCTTTCTTTCTTTTCTAATTCTTAGCCGTCCCCGCCCCCGCCATTAACCTTACTGGTCCCTTTAAGTTTTTTCTTTTCTCTCCCCCTTTTTTTCTTTTTCTACTGTAACAACTTATTTTTCATTCAACCCGTTTCGCCTTCTTTCTTGCCTTCGTTTTTCTTTCACTTTCTTTCTTTAGAAGAATCCAAATGGATTTCATTTGAAAAACGCGGTGTTACAAAATTTTGAATTGACTTTCTTCTCATTAATCGCCAAAGTTGTGCCAAGTGTATAATGGTTATTGGTGATGAGATTGGAATCAGCGATACGAGTTCAAATGCCAGTCGATTCTGTTTAGTTAACTGTGTATTAATACTTTAAAAAAAAAGGCATGAATCCATACGAGTTAAACAACATGGCAGACTGGAAGTTTCCACTCTCTTCCTTTTCTTTCTTTCTTTCTGTCTTTCTTTCTCATACTTCATTCTTTCATTATTTCGCCATTACATTTCTTTCTTTCATTCATTTACGCGGACTCTCTTGCATTAGATGGCAACCAAGCTAGGAGAAAGAAAACAATTTAGGGATCTTCTTTCGAAACTTCGTAGCACACAGTGGACCATTTCTCTGTTATCGGTTCTTCTAGAAGGTTTGGCTAGTTACACCCAAACCTTACCATTGCCGGCAAGCTATATGCGTGGGTACTCTATCATGTTGGTTTTAAATGGAAGAATTGAAAATTAAGAAGTCAAAATCGACGGAAAAAGTTAACATATTTCAAACGGCCCTATCGACAAGGTTGTGTATACAGCAACTACATCTCCTGCAGAAAGATAAGACTCCCAAAGAGGCTATCAAGTAAATGCTTACAATCTAAAACGACCAATAATTAACTATACCAAACCAAATGTTTATAGATTCAAATGCAACCAACTAATGTGTGTGTGTGTGTGTGTGTGTGTGTGTGTGTGTGTGTGTGTGTGTGTGTGTGTAACGATTATATATTGGATCGGATTTTCTACATTTTTCCGATTTCAACAAAACTTCACAGGACTACGTAAAATTACCTTGTGGTGGTTCTAACAGCGCCAAAAATTGTTTTTGCAGGAAATCAATTTGAAAACACGATTAAGAGGCATTAATGAAAGGGGAACAACTCACTTCGGGTTAAAACCCAGGTTGTTTGTTTGTGTGTGTGTGTGTGTGTGTGTGTGTGTGTGTGTGTGTGTGTGTGTGTGTGTGTGTTCGTTTATATATGGGATCGGATTTCCTACATTTTTCAGCCGATTTCAACAAAACTTCACTTTTTTTGGCAGGTAGTTTTTCTTATTGTCTTGCACACTTTTTTCTTTATTTTTACATTTAGAATGCTTTAAAAAATCCATTTACAAGACAATTGTTTATAATAAAATTCTATTCAATCGGTAGACTCATAACGATTGAAAACAATGTTTTTGTTTGAGTTTGGGTTTGACCAATTCGTAAAAAAACAAAACAAACTAATTAAGACATGCGTGTCCGTCAACCTTAAACAAATAATCTTTGTCAATTTTATTTTTCAGTCTTTATGATGGTCGATACTTGATCAATCTTTTACTGTTACATCCCCGGGCAACGCCGGGCTCTACTGCTAGTGACTAATATTTACCTATCACCGACCTATCCCCAAACCATGTAATCGCTAATAGACTCAAATATAAATAACCATTACATAACTAACTCCAAACCAAGAAAATGCTTAAAGACTCAAATATAAAAGACGAATAATTACCTATCCCAAACTAAATGCTTACAGACTAACACATAAACGATCAATACTTACCTATACCCAAACCATGTAATCGCTAATAGACTCAAATCTAAACAACCAATAATTACCTATCTCCGAACCAAATGTAACATTTTTACTTTCACTACTCGATAAAGAAAAGTCCAATTATATATATTTGGTATTATTAGAATTCTAAAAATAGCTTTAAAACAATAATAATTGCCAAGAGCGTATTCTGCAATAACGGTGTCCAAAGACCGTCTTTTTGACATAGAGACTCTTTGCCAGTAAATTTGTTAAATTTTGTCCAATCCTCTTTTTGATTCGTCTCTCGTGAGCAGGATGAGAAAGCGGAAGTTGGCGCTCCTGTGACTGGATTACAAATGAGAATTTTTTTTTTCTGCACAGGAGGATTATGCATATCTTCCGATTAGAAAAATCCATCTTACATCTATAAAAGAAGCTGAATTCCTTTAAGTCGTTTGCACAAAAAATAAATAAAAATAAAAACTGGTCCCGGAAGGCAGCTTACATCCACAAAAAAAGCTGAACCCCTTCAACCCAAGTTCGCACCAAAAAAAAAAAGAAGAAAACTTAATCTCGCAAGCCACCTTATTTCCATAAAAGAGGCTAATCCCCGTTAAGCTGAATACACACTATGAAACCAGTTGCTATTTAGCACACGTAGAGGCAAGATGTTGCTGATATATAGGCCAGCAAGGAAGCAAGACATGACTGCTCACGACAGTTTAAAGAGCAAAGGAAACCACATAAAGGATGCTACCGGCTTGTCATTTTCCAGTCGGTAAATATTACACGACCTTGCTATTCGCCCCTTTTACACTGTTTATTGTATTCGTCTGTTATGGTATTTATCAATCCACCCACGGGGATAGGGGTAGGGTTAGGCCTTTTTAATATGGGTATCTCTGAGCCCGTAGGCCCAGCCAAAAATAAATAACCATCCAAACCAGCCGAGGCGGGCCAGTTCCGTCAACCTCCCCCAACGAAACCCTACCCTTCGGCGGAGCTTCGTCCGGGTTCCTCTCTGCAAGCAGAGAGTTCGACAGACACCCGACCCGGCAGCTCACAAAGCGCAGATACTACCCTTTGATCCTAGCCACCGGGCCGAGCGGGTATTCTTTTTATAGATGGTATTTATCAATCCACCCACGGGGATCGAATGTGGCACAAGGCCTTTTTAATGTGGGTATCTCTGAGCCCGTAGGCCCAGCCAAAAATAAATAACCATCCAAACCCACCGATGCGAGCCAGTTCCGTCAACCTCCCCCAACGAAACCCCACCCTTCGGCGGAGCTTCGTCCGGGTTCCTCTCTGCAAGCAGAGAGTTCGACAGACACCCGACCCGGCAGCTCACAAAGCGCAGATACTACCCTTTGATCCTAGCCACCGAGCGGGTATTCGTCTGTCATAACTTCTCAGTGTTGTGACATGTATGTATATAGCTGTATGTAAACTCTCTTTGATGATAATACATGTTCGTCATTCCTTTTTCTTTAAGCGTGTTTGCTTGTTTAATAGCACATCAACTCTTTATGAGGCATTTAATGCCGATTTTCTAGGCAACATTAAAGTAATAAAAATATGATATATAATATTTTATCTGTAATTGAAGGCATATAATTATGCTCAAAAAATTTTAGTTGAAGGCATATTGTGTTCAAAATATTTAGATTTCGGCATTAAATAACCCACAGCGGTTGATATGCCAACCAGCCTCCCCAACTCTCTCTCTTTCTCTCTCTCTCTCCCTCTCTCTTTCTCTCTCTCTCCCCTCTCTCTTTCTCTCTCTCGCTGTCTTTCTTTCTATCGTAATATCATTCACTCTTACGCCATCGTTAAATTCCAAAATTTGAATCTCAGCCGTATTAAATAATTTCCTTTTTCTTTCCATTTCGTACTCTCTTTCTCTCTCTCTCTCGTTAAATTATTCCTCTTTCTCTCTCTCACCTCTCGCCTCTCTCTCTCTCTCTCTCTGTCGTTAGGTCCTTCACTCTCGCACAATTGTTAAATCCCTTATTTTCACCCTCTCTCCCATTAAATAATTTTCTCTTTCCCTCACACTTTCTCTGTCTTTCGTTAAATCTTTCACTCTCGCTCCATCGTTAAATCTCTTACTTTTACTCCTTCTCTCTCCCATTAAATAATTTTGCTTCTCTCTCTCTCTCTCTCTCATTAAATCATTCACTTTCGCGCCAAAATTAAATCCCTCACTTTTACTCTCTCTTTCATTAAATAATTTCCTCTCTCTCTCTCTCGCTCTCTCTCTCTCCCTGCTGTTAAATCATTGCCTCTCGCGCCAATGTTAAATCCTTTACATTTCCTCTGTCTCTCTCCCAACATATAATTTCCAATTTTTCTCTATATATATATATCTCACTTTATCTCACTCTCTTTGTTGATAAACCTCTCTCTCCCTCTCTCTCTTTCATCCATCGTTCAATCACTCACTCATTCTTTCTCCATCGTTAACACAATATTTCAGACCTTTATTGCCACTAATTCCTTACAAGGCATTGCTTAATGAATTTAATTAACTGTATAAAACGTACGTGTAAATCACTTCAAGTTCTATACCACGGCCCCTTATCAATGTCCGCAGCCATCTTGCGATCTTCAAACGGATATTTTCCCGAAGAAAATGCCCAGACGAGTGCCAACCAGTACACAGTGTATTCTAATTATTTTTATTTCAAAGACACGCGACGTTCTACAGACACTCCGCTAGAACCGGTTTCATTCTAAAGGCTTCACTCTCAGGTCTTCTACTTTCAGAGTAGAACTCGAAGCGATAACCAGAGTTTATGTAAAAGTGCTAATATTTCAGCGAACACATCTGGCAAATTTAGTGAATAGTGAAATGAAGAAACCGCCGTTTTCATTATTTGAACTCAGACTATTGTCCACATTTTTTTATCTCGTTAGCACAACTTTCGGCCTTTATGCGTTCCGGCTTTCATCACGAGCTCATCGATGCGTGTTAACCTTTAGCGAATTTCGAACAGAACCATTTATTTAATCTACGGGGATAGACTATTCGTGGCCCGCTGTCCACCTCTAGGGATACCTCAATTTGTTCTCATTTAGTACTGTTCAGCTATTGATCACTGTTTCTAAATCTGGACTACACAGCCGGCAAATTACTATGTCACTAAATCCACTACATTCTTGTCTCGTTGGACAATCCTGAGTCTAGAACTTTTATCCTTAAAAATAATCAGCCTGCTGCTGATGCTTTTCACGCTTGCATAATAGGACATTATATAAAAGTGAACATTGAAGTCATCACTCAGAAGCGACAGACTCTTTCATGCTAAACGCAATCATCAGGCCACATGCGTTGTGTTTTTCTCTTCTATTTATATATACGGGTCAGTCGACCCGCATATATAAATAGTCGAGAAAAA